TCTGCTCTGATACCACTTGTCACCTCCCAAAAGAGCCCTTATGGGTGGTGGGCAGCCCAGGACTTAAATACTGCTTTTCGGCCCTACACCTAGCTGATGTGGGACTATTTGTCCGTGACACGCTGCCCACTAGAACGCACATGGACCTAACCTTTTTATAAAAGTACAAGTTTTTTCTTAAAAAAAATAAAAAATACCCAACCAAACATATTTTTTATTTTTTATTTTTAAAAATATATAAATCATAACAGTACCAAACCTGTTTTCTAAAAACATAGAACAAATAACAAAACAAAAATAAAATAAACTAAAAATAATAACAAAAAAAAAAAACAGAAAGTGATCTGAAGCAGACCCTAAGGTATTTCTTTCTTTCTTAAGGGCTCATGTTCTATATTTTTGGCTTGTGACTTGCCTAAATTGGATTTGAATGTTACAGTGCTTCATGAACCCCTTTGTCACATTCTTCATCATTCTTTTTACAATTTGCATAGAATTTTGTTTTAAACTTGATATGTTTCTTTTGCTTCTTGTTGTTGTTAATTTAGCTATTTTGTTCTTGTTTTACAGAAATAGGGTTCTTGTTTTTGTATTGTATAAGAAGGAAGCTGTTCGCGTGGAGAATATGCTTCAACATAGGTATACTGCTTCGTTTTTTTTTCTACATTGTGTTTGGTTAATTGGCCTAGAAAACAAAGTGTTAGCGCTGTATTAGCCGAGTAAAGTTGTTTTATCTACTTATCTTTGCTTCTTAAGCCATGGTTTTTGGATATGTAACTAAAAAATCTTTGCTTCTAGAGGGTGGAAGGCTGTCTCAGTGCATGGGGATAAGGCTCAACATGATAGAACAAAAGCTCTTTCTCTATTCAAGGAGGGGAAGTGCCCCTTAATGGTACGCTACGAATACAATAAAGTGTTAAATTCCTTTTTTATTTTCATTGAATTTCTTTTTTTTTTTGCTAATGAAATGTCCTTTTTTATTTTCATTGAATTTCTTTTTTTTTTTTTTGCTAATGAAATCAAAATCACTAAGTGATTTTTTATGTTTAAGTTGAAAATTTCCTACAAAATTAGTGTTTTTTTTTATGCAAGCAATAGAAAATCTTTGTTCTCACCTTTGATTTATGTGATACAAGTTTTTATATTTTGATGCTGATGATTTTCAGGGTGGATGGTCAAAATGACTAATTGTAGATCTGACATGTGGACCAGAAAATCTTAGGGACTAGGATTAGGATTAGTAAGACATCTTAGGGACCAGAAAATCTTAGGGACTAGGGACTAGTAAGACATCTTAGGGACTAGGATTTTCATTGTAGATCTGACATGTGGACCAGAAAATCTCACAAAAAACACACAATTTTCACAAGACTCGAGCTATTATTAAGTTACAATTACTATTGTTTAAGTCACATAAAGATAGAAAATAATTGGATGACAGTTTTGTGGCTGCCCGTTATAAATTTATTATTAAAATTAAAGATCTTGAAAGCCATACATGTGATTGAAGCTTTATGTAATTTACACAAATTTATATTGGAAAAAATCAAACTTAAACACAATATCACTCATTTAATAAAGAAAAAGTATATTAAGAAGGGGAGAATGAAGATAGAATTCATCAAAGAAATAAAGCGTCAAACTTGTGTAACTGGATATTCTCTCCTGAATTCAAGCCTCAAACTCAATTGATGGTTAATCTTTTCGCAGGAAAATAATGATTTACACGTCAATGGGAAATTTTATCTAGCCATTTGATGATTTTACTTTGTAAATGTGTAAATGCCTCAATATAATTACAAAAGTTATTAGAAAAAGACCTCCATTGACTTGAGCTAGGGGTGTAAACGAGCCCAACACGAGCGAGCCCAGCTCGTGTTCGGCTCGTTTATATTTTGAGCTCAAAAAGTGTGTTTGTGTTCAACTCATTTGCTTAACGAGTCGAACACGGGTTATTCACAAACAAAGAGTCATTTTGACAACCTTAATCACGTAGCCATAAGATGTTAAGGGTTGGGGCAAGAATTAAAAATTATTAGTTATATTAAAACATTATTTGAATCTAATTTAATTTTAAAATACTACTATATATATATATATATATATATATATATATAATTGATGAGTAGTATTTCGAGCCGAACACGAAGGAACAAAACTTTGTTCGTGTTCGGCTCGTTAACTTAGCGAACGAGCCGAACACGATCTTCTTAACGAGCTAAACACGAGCTGTTCACGAACAACGGGCCGTTTTGAAACCCCTAACTTGAGCTATAATAAAATAACATCCGCTTTGCTTGAGGCTAGTAGCCTTTATTGTCATCCCATTGATGTTATTACTGTTTTGTAAGGAGGTGGAAGAAAATAAAGAGGAGTCATGGATTAGCTGCGTCAATGGAGATCACTGAAGTTCTGCATAACTACAGGCTTTGTTTGCAAGAAGAATGGCTTCTCCATTATGACACATATTTTTTTCTGTTTTATCTGACCAAAAATAGGGCTGCGTTACCATTTTCCAATTGCTTGCTTAAAGAGGTCCTCTAAACATTTAAGGTTGTCCGTTAATGTTAGGCTGTGAGTAAATGATCCATGATTTGATTTTTTCAATCTTTTAATATTTGATTTTGTGGCTATAATAAGAAGAAATCTACTCTATTGTTACTTCTTATGTTGGATGCTTGGCAATTTTTTGTTTGTGACTTTGTTGAGCTGAGTGAGAGTAATTTTTGTTTGACTAGATATAATTTAAACAGACTTTTCTACTTTGCAATTGTTAGAGATATCTTCAAGTAAAGTGAAATAATTTATATTGAATGCAAATGGTATTAAGCTTGCAACTTATTTATGTGCTTTTCTTGTTACTTTTCCGAGAGTGATGGAGAGGGAAGGGGGGCGATGGTTTTTTGTTTGTGGAAATTTTCATTTCTGATTCCCATAAAATTATATATGTAAATCCTACAAATCAAAGATATGCGTGCTTGTCTATATATCTAAGTGTGCAATAACTGCTACACCGACGCCTAGGTGTAATGTCAAGCAAGGGTTCCGACATTACGGTTGGATGCAAATAAAGAAGTTAGTTTACGAAACTAATATTAGGATATGATCTTGAAGTATATGTACTCTCACAAGTAAATTAATGAAATTATTTGATATTATGGTTCATATGAAGACAATTATTTAATGTATTCAAGAACTAATGGGTTGGAGAAATAACTTAGGTTTTGAATTTTAGTATTCAAGTAGGAGTCACACTAGAAATGATGTAGGTGTAATTATAGATAAGCATAAAATACATATTGATTATATTCTTATGAGAAAAAAAAGATCGTCGAGAGTTTAAATTTTTTAAGGTCATTCTAAGTAACATTTTAAGTACTCAAGATCGATTATTAGTTTTAGATTTTATGGTGAAGAGTTGTAAGATAAAAATACAAAAAGTCATTGTCATAGAATTAGATGAGGCATCTAAAAGCCACAAATAAAATTATTTATACGAGTAAACTTCAAAATTTAAAGATTTGGGACATTCATGAAGAGACAAATTCTATGTGAGATAAAGTAACAAATACTATTAAATAAGTGGTAAAAGATGTACTTGGAGAATCAGAATTAATAAAAAGATGTACTTGGAGAATCAGAATGAATAAAATATATAAATAAAAATAGTTGGTGGTGAAATAATAATATGCAAGAAAAGATAAAATATAAGAAATTCTATTATAAAAATTGGTTTAAATGTAATAGTATTGGAAAAAAAATAAGGTTGCTCGTAGGGAGTTTAAGAGAACAATTTGTGACGCTAAAAATTCTGTTTATAGTGATCTTTATAATAGATTATCTATACTAAAAATGATGGAAAAAATATATATATAAATTAGTCAAACAAAGAGAAAAAAAGTAAAAATTTAATTAAAGTGTATGAAAGATGAAAATTAAAAAGTTATTGTCTCAAAAGAAGATATTCAACATAGGTGAGTGTGCTATTTTGATAAATTTTTCAATGAAGTTTTGGAAAATACAATCGATCCTAGTGATTTTAATATTGTTAATAATAATAAAACACTTTATTTTTATCATCCATTAGTAAAAAAGTTGAGGAGGCTTTAAAGAAAACCAATGATGGAAAATCAGAAGGACTTGATGACATCTCATTTAAAGTGTAAATATTTAGAAGACCTAGGAGTTTCTTGGCTTACTAAACTCTTTAATATTATTTTAAAAACTAAAAAGATGTTTGAGTAGTGGCGGAAGAGTATTTTGGTCCCTATTTTTTAAGAATAAAGGGGATGCACAAGAGTGTGCAAAATATAGAGGAATTCAGTTGATGTGTCATACTTTAAAATTATGGGAGAAGGTAATTGAACATAGTTTAAAATATGTGTTTCGATTCTTTTTGTAAAGTCGGAGTTGCCAACTTGTCTAATTATCGTCTTAAGATTCCTTTTCCAAAGAACACTCTTACTTGAATCGTTAGAACTATTTTTAGAAGAGGGAGGATAAAAAAGAGGGAAATAAGACATAGATTTGGCAGACAAATTTTGAAAGAACCTGGATAACTTTGAGGTTGACCTCGTGCGATAGGTCGAGTGTGTACGTCCAAATAGGATCAGTTCGAGACACATTGAACCCAACATCCATGAAAGATTGCCTACATAAGCTACCTAAGTAACCATAGAACCAAATTTGTGTATTTGTTCCGGGTTCAAGAGCACTCCCAAAGGGACGCATCCCATTTGGTTAATTACATCTTGGGTGATGCCCAAAAATACTCTCGATTAAAGAAGTTCTGCTTACATTTAAGTGATGACTAATGAGAGGGGGTCACAAAGGATGGTTATCTCATAGGATAGTCCTGATGCCTTCAAAGTTCTCGCTAAGCCTCAGGACAATGAGTGAATCTCACAATCCCAAATGGGCAACGACTATCGGAGAATGGGGCCTATGAAATAAGCAGGTCATTTCGTAGGGTCCGCACTATGCATTCAGGCTTAACCGGGCCATAATAGTAAATAGTGCATAATCTTTATTCAAAAATTGACGCCCTATTTATAGACATATGGGTATGAGTTTTATAATTACAAGTATGTCCTCTAATCATTTGTCTCTGAGGAGCGCTTTTTCGGTCAGGAGACCTGACGGTCCGAATGGTACGCTGACCAATTAAATTTGGCCGCGTGGAAAATGTGGGACCCGCTTGTCCACGTAATTTTAAAAAAAATTCGCTGAAGGCCGACCCGCCCCGAGTGTACGAGCCCGCGTCTCCTCGAGTATCCCGCCTTTTAGAATGACGAGGAAGACGTTTCGAAAATACTCTCCGGTGGTTTTTCTCTCCTACGTTTTTGTCGTTCGCTCTGCTAGGGTTTCACATTTCCCTTGTTCGATAGCTTCGAAGCCGTAAGACGATGGCGTTTGATGATCCGGAGTATGTGCAGGCCGAAGAGAGCTCAAGAACAGTTTCAAAAGAGGCTGAGAAGACAGAGGTTGAGCAACCAATGAAGTCAAAGAAGTAGAAGAAGGAGGCGAAGTGAGGTTGAGCAACCAATGAAGTCAAAGAAGTAGAAGGAGGAGGCGAAGTGGATAGAGGGCATTGAAGGAGAAAATTTGTCCTAGTAATTGTTATCGTTTTATTCTTAGGTTATTGTTAGGTTATTAGTTTGATTATTATTGAGTTATTCTTGAGTTACTCCGAAGTGTAGTACTTATTGACAGCTATTCCATGTTATTCATGTGTTATTTTTAAATTATTCGTAGGTTATTTGTAAGTTAGGCGTATCTTATTCTCTGGTTAAACTTGTGTTATTTTTAGGTTATTTTTCAGGTTATTCTTGGGTTATTTTTAAGTTAACTCGTGAGTTATTTTTAGTTTATTCTCAAATTATTCTTAGGTTATTTTTAAGGTACTTGCATGTGATTTTTAATTTATGCGTAGGTTATTCATAGGTTACTCCTGAGTTATTTTTAAGTTATTTACAAGTTTATGCGCAAGTTATTCATAGGTTATTTCTAAGGTATTTTTGGTTATGTCAGGTTATTCGTAGGTTATTTGTACGTTATTTTTAGTATATTGTTTTGTTAATTTTGAAGTAATGTGTAGGCTATTCCTGTGTTATTTGTAGGTTATTTTTAAGTTATGAGTATGTTATTCTTTGGTTATTCCTATGTTATTTTTAAGGTATTGCTTTGTTAATTTTGAAGTAATGCGTGAGTTATTTTTAGGGTATTGTTTTGTTAATTTCGAAGTAATACGTGGTTTATTCCTGGGTTATTTGTAGGTTATTTTTAAGTTATGCATAGGTTATTCATAGGTTATTTCTGGGTTATTTTTAGGTTATTTGCAGGTTTATGCGCAGGTTATTCATAGGTTATGCATAGGTTATTCGTAGGTTATTACTAGGTTATTTTTAAGGTATTGTTTTGTTAATTTTTATGTTCTACATAGGTTCTTCGTAGGTTATTGTTGATATAATATTAGGGTATTCCAACATTAATAACAATATTAATAACAATATAACATGCATCTTATTCCTGTATATTGATGAATAAACATTCTTTGGTTATTCCAGTATTAATAACATGCATCTTATTCCTATAAGTTGAAGAATAAACAGTCAATGAATTGTAGATGCCGACCATAAGCAGTTAGAGAGGTGTTGGATAAGGTTCGGTCAATTGTCTCTCGGGAGACGTGGTCAACTCTGTAAAAAATGAAGTTTAATCAGTTTTTTGATCTAACTCCCTATTCTCAAGATCACATACTAACTATGCACATATTGAATTGTTGGGATATGAATAGATTGACTTTCAGATTGGGGGAGGGGGAAAAAACTGATTTTTGATGACGTCCTACAGCAACTTGGGCTAAAAAGTCCGTCAATGACGTAGATGCAAGACGGGCAAAAAGTGAACTATTGAAGAGTTCATCTGCTAGTCTTGATGAACTTCTTATTAAATTTTTGTTGTCTAATTTACTATTTTCTTCCAGCAATTTTAGTGTATCCACAAGGCTCTATTCATTTGCTAAGAATGTAGATAGTTTTTCTTCATTTAATTGGGCCGCAACAGTATGTGACCACCTAATTGAGCAAGTCAATGCTTGCGCCATGAAAATAAGGATGGGTAGCCATTGAGATACATGAACGGGTCTGTTTTTCTTCTAACGGTTAGTATATTGCTCAACCTCAATAAAAAAAAAATTATTTTCATCTTATTTGGGTTATATGAATTTCTGATTTATTAATCGTGTTTATGCAGCTGTGGTTTTATGAGCACACACTTGTGATAGCCCCGACTTATCCTGACGCCAGACCTCGTATGTTGAGGTGGCTAATAAATACAGGGTGGAACCCTCCGAAGATCCATTTAATTTTTATGCAGCTTAATCCTGTACAGGTGAATGATATTAATGTCTGTTTTAAGTTTAGGATTATGTTTAGTATTTGACCACCTTATTTAATTCTTATAATGAATGTTTTTGTAGGTTCTTGATTTTTTTGTTGATTTAATAGACAAGTAGCATAGTTTACTTGCCCCTCTAGTTGGCCCGATCTCGTCTTCTGCAAAGTCCATTGGAGAACCCAAAATTCACACTCATCGAACAACACCAGAGTCTCATGGTGCTATTCTTTTTGTACAGACTCGCAGCATCTCGCCACCTACACATTCACATTTGGGTTTTGAAGAGATATGACAAACTCCGAGGGAGCAACAACAAATTTTAGTTCAATTGAAGGATTCAGTAAATAACCTAAAATATTTTTTGGAGTATACACTGATGGAGGTGAAGACCGACATCAACGAAATAAAGAGAAAAATAAATTAAGTTCCAATGGAATCTCCTGTAGGTTTTGAATTTACTGGGAAGAAAGAAAGCCCAGAAAAGGAAGAAGAACCATCTACTCATATTGAGCAAGCGTCGGAACAGGAGTGGGGACCCGATATTCTTGAAGAAGAACAACCGATAGGTAGAATGACTGTCTTCGATGAAGCTGCACCTGATAGTGAAACTAATAAAGGTGTCGGGGAACCTAGAAAAGTCATCCCTAAAGACCTAATTGGTAGCTTGGTCCGAAGAATCAGGTCCAGAGGACCAAGGAAAAAGAAGTTTGTTGTAAAGAGAAAGAATATGGAAGAAGTTCCGACCTTGAATATAGATGATTTAGTACAGCATATTTATGAGTCTTCTACGCCGATTATCATACCATCTTCACAGCTCGATGAAGCTAGGGAAGAGGAGGCTGAAGAAGCTTGGGAGGAGGTACAACCGGGTGCAATTGTTCCATACGAAGGTGCCCTCCCTTATTCAGCCGTAGAGTTCCCCGGCAGAGAACTACTACCATCACACATGCAACAGGTGATAGATACTTGTTTAAGAATATACAAAGAAAGGTATGTACAAAACAGAACACTTTTTCTGTCAATTGTTCTGTACAAAACAAAACAGAACGAGCGACGAAAACGAGCGGCGAAAACGTGAAACTTTAGCAGAACGAGCGGCGAAAACGTATGAAAAAAACCACCGGAGAGTATTTTCGAAATGTCTTCCTCAACATTCTAAAAGACGAGATACTCGAAGAGATGCGGGCTCGTACATTAGGCCGGGTCGGCCTTTAGCGAATTTTTTATAAAATTTACGCGGACAAGCGGGTCCCACATTTTCCACGCGGCCAAATTTAATTGGCCAGCGTACCATGCGGACCGTCAGGTATCCTGACCGAAAAAAACACTCGTCTCTGAGGGTGTTCATTTAGTACATTACATGTATCAGGTATATTAAATGACAAGTAGACTTATAACATCGGTGTGGATCTCAACGATCGGTGGGTGCACAGTCGATCGTTTTCCCTTGATCCATCTCGTTGGTTTTTAGTTGATTGTCGCTGCTTGGTTTGACTGGTTAACCTTTGGTCGATTGTCAGACCTTTTAATGATTTGACCCTTAGGCTTAGCTTCAAGGAGCTCTTCTTGTTCTAGAGTTTGTCGGTCGCCGGTATATTCTTCCGTTTGATCGTCATTTGATTTGACCGTTGGATTGCCTCGAGATTTGTGCTGACATATTTCTCGTGTGTGTGTGTGTATATATATATATATATATATATATATATATATATATATATATTGTATTGAAATGGAGATGAATATATAATGAGATTGATTCCTGAGTTAAATCGAACCATAATAGAAAATGCAAACACGATACAAACTCACACTTGAGCTCAATATTTGGGTGGTGGAGGTCGTCGGTTAGGCGGTTGGGGAGCGGAAATAGGTGGCTGAATGGGTTGGGGTTGGTTGGGACAGCAAAAGGGGGTTGGATTAACGTTGGCAGCTAAGTGGAGGACTGGGACATCGAGAACAGCAAGTGGGGGTAGCAAGCAGAGTGGAGAGACGTGACAAGAAAGGCTGAAATAGCCAGGGGACAACAGGAAAACAGAAGGTTTGTTGTTTTTCTGATGATGGCAATGAAGGGGCAAAGTGGGGGACTGTAAGACAGCAAAGGGCGGCTTTTCGGGTGGTTTCCTACATAATTTACTCTTTGCTCCTGCCATGAAGAGTTGGATTAAGGGAATCCAATTTTGTAACATTAATTTTACTATCAATAATATTTAATTTGCTGAAGATACTCTTTTTTTTGCAGAGCTGATTTTACTCGATTTAAATGTTGCAAAGACTAAGTATGGGTTTCAATCGATCAGTTTGGATTGATCAGTGAAATTTAAATGTAAATTCAAAAAATCAAACCAACAAAACATTTACTAAAATTGATCCAAACCAAATAAAATGTAATTTGGCTTAATCTTTTCTATTTTGAGCAAATTCAAATTTAGTACTAAATTTTTGTTGTATTTCACGAAGAAAGATTTTCATATTATACAACCCGAGGTCAGACTCGTTTAAATATACAACAATGGGGATGATTCTGATAAGCTGAGCTCAACACTAGCTTGCAGAGTCCAACCCAAAAAAAAAGTTGGGCAATCTAGCTCATTTTTATTGAACAAAGCAAGTTGAATTGGATTGAAATTACCTCAAGAAAAATATTGAAGCCAAAATAATATCATTTTTGTTGTAAGATCAGAAGATTACCTAGCAGACATACTTTGAATCTTGTTCTGCCTTTTTATAGTAAAATATTCCTTTGAGATTCTTTTTTTTTTAAATATTTCTGCATTTATGTTATCATGTTGCAAAGCAATTACATAATGTTTATGTTAAAGAATAATCTTCGCTTACGTTATGCTATCCCAAATATGCTGTAGATTGCCACCGATGTTGCTTCTCGAGGTTTGGATATTCCTGATGTTGAAGTGGTGATCAATTATAGCTTCCCTTTGACGACTGAAGATTACGTCCATAGAATAGGGCGGACTGGACGAGCCGGTAAGAAGGGAGTAGCACATACCTTCTTCACAAAGGAAAATAAGGTAACCTATAATTTTCAAGACTCCAGTTTTTAGTATATAGTTATGTCATTCGTTGTAAATTTTTCTTTATATGCAAATGTTTCGTAATTATGTGCAGGCCCTTGCTGGCGAACTTGTAAATGTTCTCAGAGAGGCCGGGCAAATTATTCCCTCAAATCTTACAAAATTTGGAACTCATGTAAAGAAAAAGGTATGAGATTTTTTTTTCCCTATTAAATGGTGGCACAAGTTGTGTTAGTCAATTTACAAGATATTTGTTTGGTATGATTTTCTGTTTGCGTTGGCTTCATGTCTTCTCTGAAATTGTATTTCCGCCACCAACTGCTATTAAAAATTGTATGGTAAAAGTACTCAAGTTTATGCAGTTGGTTGAAATTCAGTTTGGAAGTCTGGGACAAGTATTATTAGTACCCGAGTGTTTTTGCAAAAGTATATTGGATTTGTTCCCAGCCTTCTAAGGCATAGGTGTACGGTGCAATTTCATGGTTTACTGGGGAGGATTTGAATCTTTGTTGGGTCATTAGTCATCCTGAAACTTTTTGATACTTGAACACAAGAAAAAAGTATTGCTCAGGATATCCTGATCAAACTTTGATTAGAATTGGCCTAAAAGCCGTTGGATTTGTGTTGAGATGACTGCTGTTCGCCTGTTCACAGGCAATCAATAATCTAATGTATTTGAAATCCATCCTAATGAGAAGTTTGGGCATTTACCACCGATTTCCTATGTATTTACATATCTAAAACCCAAGCTTTGTTTTTTCACATTTCTACCACCCAAATCTTTCATATCAATTTAAAAAATATCAATATTTAAACTTTTTAAAAACTGAAATACACCTTTCTCATGTATAGGTAAGATGGCTTATATGTTAGAGAAGTAGTTTAAATGTTTGATATGTAAATACATCTGAAATTGAGTGGTATATGTCTAAATCATCCTAAAGATTTGATCAGAAAATCCTGGCCCATTTTCTTCTAATTGCATTGCAAACTGTGTCTGTTTCAAGGCATTGAAACCATTTCCTTCTTCTGCATTTTGCTGTCTTTATGCACTTAGAATAACAATGGTGTGTTCTCTTCCATAGGAGTCGAAGCTTTATGGGGCACACTTCAAAGAAATCACAGCTGATGCTCCTAAAGCCTCAAAAATAACATTTTCCAATTCTGATGATGAAGATTGATTGTTGGCAACCCTTCGATACAGTTTTTCGAGGGACTTTGGTTCCTCCTTACAGACATTTTCCCTGCGAGGATTTCATTTTATCTGCCAACAACATGGTTATCCAGCTTGTTATAGTGATGGATGTAATATTTTTTTTTAATCTTTTTTTTTCTTTATATATTTAATTTGGTCTGTAGGGCCTCTTATGTAAACATAATTTTGCATATATGAAATTATTTATAAGTTATTTATCCTGTATAAGAAATGCTGTTGGTTTCATGAGAATCTTAAAGCTTGTACTGGATATGACAATGTTCTTTTTTATTTTTATATTTAATATCTACTTTTTTTTTATGTATGTGAATATTACTTCTGTATTTCTAACTCACATAAAAAATGTACTAAATATGAAGCTCTTAGATATCTGTACCTTATATGTGTTTTTAAACTTGATTGATTGTTGAACATGATGTACATTTTACATTATATTTTAAGTAATTGAACAATTATAAGATTAAACCAGTAAAATTTGGAAGGACAATTTAATATATCAAGTTATTTCATGTTTAAACAAACCTTAGGTGAAGGCGGGAGCGAGCCAAGCCAACTTGTGAGCCAACTTGGGCTCGACTCATTAATTGGCTCGTGAACTAAGCTTGATGAGCTATAAAGTCAAACTCAAGCTAATCTCGACTCGTCTAGCTAGCTCACGAGTTGGCTCTATATTTAAAAAACATAAAAAATCAAAATTTTGTTTTAAATTATTAACAATATTTAAAAAATGATGTTGATATATATTATTTATATAGAGAAAAATATTAAAATTTATTATTTATGTAGCGAATTTGTAAATTCCAGAAGAGCAGTTGCTCATTGGTAGGGGTGTAAATGAGCCGAGGCTTGGCTCGTGTTCAGCTCGTTTAAATATATCGTAGGTCGTGTTCGGTTTGTTAATATATTAATAACAACAAACTTTTATCCCACTAAGTGGGGTCGGCTACAAATCATTTTTTTCCAACGCATTCTTTTTTTCCAACGCGTTCTATTAAGTGTTATATTTTCATTTAATTCTAATAGATTAAGTTCAATTTTTTATACAATATGCCTAAGTCTGTTTAAGTCTATCTCTGCCTTTTTAAACATTAATTAAAGCTAAAACATCTACTCTTCTAACCAGATCATCAGATGGACGGCAAGTAGTGTGACCAAACCATCTAAGATGGCTCTCTCTAATCTTGTCCGCAATCGGAGCTACATCGACCCTATCACAAATATATTCATTTCACATTTTGTCTCTAAGTGTCAACCCACTCATCCACCTAAGCATCCTCATCTCAACAACACTTAACTTTGTTTTATGCTTCACTTTTAAAGGCCAACATTCTGCGCCATAGAGCATTGTAGGCCTCACCACCATCTTATGAAGTTTTCCTTTCAATTTAAGTGTTTTATCTATCACACAATAGACCCCAAGCATTCCTCCACTTCAACCTCCACTTCAACCAACTTACAACCAACTTAAATTCTACTAATAACATTTTCATCTATATCACCATCCCTCTGAACAATAGACCAAAAATTTCTAAAACGTTTACACCTTTTAATGATTTGATCACCCATAATTACAACTGTGTCACTAGAGCTACTACTATTAAAATTAAATTCCATGTATTCAATTTTAATTATACTCAAATGAAGACCTTTAGATTTCAATATAGACCTCAATAATTCAAGTTTTTTGTGAACTTTTTTCTCTAGTATTATCCACAAGAAGGATATCAGAAGTGAAAAACATTCACCAAGATACATCCTCCGATAAATGTCCAGTAAGAGCATCCATAACTAAAGCAAAAAGATATGTGCTTAAAGCTGATCCTTGATTTAATCCAAAGATTTAATCCAACTGAAATAGGAAAATATTTGGTCAATCCTCCTTCCATTCGAACACAAGTACCAGCTCTAGTATACATTTCATTAATGACTTGAATATAAGTCGTATCAACACATTTTTTTCTCTAGGAGTCTCCAAAGGACTTCTCTCCTTAAACCTTATTGTAAGGTTTTACAAGTCAATAAAAATCATATGTAGATATTTCTTATTCTCTATGTATTTCTCCATCAAACCTCTCAAAAAATTGTTTAGCTTCCTTAGTAGACTTGTTCGACATAAATCTAAAGTGATTATGAGAAATTTTTGTATCATGTATTAACCTATGTTCAATAACCCTCTCTCATAGCCTTATAGTATGCTACATCAACTTTATTCCTCTATAATCAGCACACTCTGCATCCCTTTTATTCTTAAAAAATGTGGACCAAAATATAATTCCTCGACTCTCATTAATATATCGAGTGTAAAAAATTTGTTTGTGTTCAACTTATTTGCTTAGCGAGTCGAAACGAGCTATTCGTGAACGAGCTATTTTGACGTCTCTAGTTATGCAATCGTAGGATATTAAGGTTAGTGACAAGATTTAAATATAATTTAATCTATTTTTCTTTTATAATTTTTATAAATAATTTTAATTGATTATAATTTTTTTTAAGCAACAACGGAGTAAATTCATTTAATCTACATCACAATCGGATTTGATAAATCAGTATTTACATTATACAATAAAGGAACAGAGGAAAAAACATATAACGGGAGAGAATTATAGATTTAAAGAAGATTTGGATTTTATTTTATTATTTTTTAATATTGAGCTGAATTTAGATTAAAAGTTGCTACCAAGCACCCCTAACGAATATTAGAGCCGGTTTACAAGAATAAGCGATTCTCCCATCGCCAATCGCGTCGTAATCATCGCCGGAGCTGAAACATGGCCGCCGTGGGACTTTCGAGCCTCTTCAAAACCCTTGATCGCTTCACCTTGTCTGGGAAATGGAGCTTCCGTGCAATCAACTCTCTTGTTGGCGAGCACACTGCTAAATGGATGCAGGTATTACTCGGAAACACCTTCTCTCTTCAATCTTCATCCATGAGGCGTCCATCTAGCTTAGATATCAGAGATTGATTTCTCTGTTTATCTTCTTATGAGCGCACTTGTGGTTGCTTAGGTTTTGGTTAAGAGGATCCGTGTCTCCAGGGGAAATCTAGGGTTTGGCGGAGATATATGTGGCGCTTATTTGCAGTGCTTCACTTTCTTATTTGTGTTTTGACTTTCTTATTTGTGTTAAGGGATCATTTCGTTGCTAGGCATGATGGAAAGCATGTTGTAGAAATTGTTGGCGTTTCAAAATTATATTGATTTTTAATTACGTTGAACCAAATTAGAATCTAGTAAATTCTCTTTTCAAAGCTTGTTTTGTAAATTCAAGCAGTTAAATAGGACCTTAGTTTAATTGGTTGAGTTGATTCTTGTTTAGAATATTGGATTTTTGGGACATTCATGATTAGCTTGTTGTTGCTCTTGTCCAATTACCTTTTTTGAAGAATTTAATGGCTAGATGTCTGTTTGGTTTGCTGAGACTGGAATGCAGCGATGGCTTAGTTAACCTGATTTTTCTATGTTTATCTTGCAGCAGATTTGTGAAGAAATGACCTAAGTATACCGAATCTACTTCATTAAAACTACTTTAAAACCAAGTACTGGAGTCGGGAAAATTCTTTTGCATTTGAACACCTTACATAAAGTTTTTTTTTTTACCAAAGTAAACGATTATCTTTGATTGAATAAAGGATTTAACTACTTAAGAGTCCAACATTTCATCTCTATTTATGTTCGAAACAATTGTTAAAGGAAATTTTCTTCTCTTATAAATCAATCTTAGATATGCAGTTTTCTTCGTTCAATTTGATTGTTCAAATTTCAATTTCAAATTGTAAAATTTACGTACATACAACTCAATTCCTACGTATAACACATACATACTACTTTCCCTA